AAATCTCCCCACTATCCTATTTTAATTGATTTTTTGTTAATATGAATTGGTTGTACATTTGACTTATTTAAAATCATTTATCATGTGCCTTTTTAGGTGGACCACTCTATATGACTTTCATGCTTAAAAACCATTTTTTATTCAAGTGTCTTACAACCATCATAGGAAAGGAGTTCTAGTATATTCCCCACTTTAAAATGATAGAAATACACACAAGAAAAAAGTACGCAATTTAATCAGGACCCCAGCTTCACAGTTCTTATAATGGCATGAACATAAATGTGTTGAGACAAATAAAACAGTGCTCCAAAGATCTCTCTGAATCAAACTTGAAGTTCTAAAAATGTATAACAGGAGTCTATAAAAAGGACTCAATTTCTCTATATCAGAAAAGCATGGCCCTTTAAATTCATATCAGACCCAAAGTATTCACACTCATTTTWAAAAATTGCATAACTAGTAATACACAAGATTTTTAAACATAATTTATTAAAAATAATTCTGGGAAATTGTATTTTTGACTGAGTAGTAATGAAACTTTTGAAAAGATAGATGGTTACTGAATAAYTATCCAATGCTAATTTTGAAAAATAATTGTTATAAGCCAACCTTGTACATTTAAGGCAGGCACATTATTAACAATATTAAATATTAGAAATATATTTAGAATGTCCATGTATTTGCACACATAAAGAATTCAATGAAGTAAGCCATAAATCTGAAATTTGCTTGGCTATTAAGTTTAATTTTGTCTTATTGTTTTAAAATTTAAGCTGTCTGGTTCATTTGTATATTTGCTAAAACTGTAACTGTGTAATATTAAAAAAAAAAAAAACCTTTACAAACAGATAGGACTAACCATCTTATCTTAAAAAAAAAATGCAAAATTGTCATCCTAGAGAACTTTCAAGATCCCTGTATTTTGAAGCTTATTTCAAACAATCAACACTATTTGGCATTTATAAACTGTATCCTTGCTTTAAAGATATGAACTATAACTGTGCTACCGCACACACTAWATATCCTCATCCCAATCTAATTACACCAGTCCTTTTGTTAACATAGAATGTTGCATCTAAAACATCATAACATAGTTCTACAGTTTCAATGGCAAAATTCTTTGTTGAGGAGGTAATGAAGCAATCACCAAGATATTCAAAACAATAAAGTTAACACATTGATTTTCAGAAAAAAAAGAATACATATGCTTACATAAAACAAAAAGAATTCACTTTATACAAAAGGAAAAAGAGAGACAACTTTGAAAAATATCTGGATTCTCTAACCTAAGTAGAAGTTTTTGAAAAAAAAATAGAAGACAAATAGGAGAGAGAGAGAGGGAAAGACAGACAGACAGACACCACTGGGCATTTCAAAGACAAAAAATCTGCAAGAGCAAAAACATTCTGAAAGCACTTTTGAAACAAATTTCACTAACAGAGTCGGTAACAGGGAAATTATAGACTCAGTATAAGATTCTACATGGAATAAAATCTAAAAGTGAGCTCCATCAAAATGGAATTGTAATAACAATCAATATCTAGTTAGAAATCTCCCTGCCCATTACGAAGAAAGGTCATGCTACAAAATAAAGCAAGGTAAAGTATATACACTTTAGAATGTTTAGAAAAACAACAGTTTCCAAGCACCACACAAATAACTAAGTAATTAATTAACCAGAGATAATATTCTCTACATTCTTCTATTAGGTTATATTTCAAGTGGTCTTTAAATACAGATTTGAATGAATTAAATTTWATTGCATTATGAATTGGCTGTTGTCATTATACCCAAATGTAAACAATAATGYAAGTTTCCTGTTTGTAAATAAATGTACTTGGGAGCATGTAATCAAAAACTACATGGAAGTCCAAACAATTGTGTACTTATTTGGTTTCCCGTAAATATGCATTTGGCCAAAGAGATTGTGCAAAATAAACAGAGAAAAGTTCCAAACATAACATCTTCTGTTTTGAAAAATCCTTGTTTGTAACTAAAAGGAAGAGGAACACAAATTAAAAGATGAWAAGCCACTGGCTTTGGTTGACTTAATGAGACCATGTTCATCTCTTTATGCATGCTTCTGCCAGTGTCCTAAATTTRGGCTCCAAATGATCCAAAAATTCAAGCCCATCTTCATCTTGTCGTTCACTGCAACAGCCCACAGAACCAGCTGAYGATCCTTTTCCTTCATAGTTATACGTAAGGACATAGTCTTGAGCGTGCTTGTGACTGTCATCCTGATTACACTGATGCACTTTCTGTCAAGGGGAAAAACACAACACATTTTATTATTATTATTTTAAACACCAAAACGTACTAACATAAAAATAATTGCTTTGATTTACCTTTCATTGTTTAATTTTTAATCAGAGTGTGTCCTCTAATGGATTCCTACATATAAAAAATGCACATGATTGGTCCGTATGATCAAGAATCACACTATCAATTCAGTAATATAGCAAGTTTCTATTTGTCACACACAAGGCAGCAAGTAACTAGTGTTCATTTTAGGTAATCAGACATTTCCCCTTTCAAATATGATGGCGAAAAGTGAAAATGCATGTATTAAACTGAACCCACATGGATATGAGYTCAGATATCCACAGACAGGCACAGTGGTGAAGCACATGGGTATTGTCTTGTACTACACTTCTGGATTCTAAGACATAAGTTATCAGATGTGAAATGTTAGCACAAAGTCTTGAGAGAATAATTTAAATATTGTCACATCTGATTTCATGAAGAAGAATAAAACCCAAACAACATCTGAGGAAAAGTAAATAACTACTCAAATCGGAACCTAACTAAATCAGAATTAAGAAGAAACTACTTCYAATGAGCAGATTCATAATTAAATAAAAACAGAGATAGAAATAAACATAAAATCTTTATCATTATAAAGTTTAAGGGAAATTAAAATAGATTTGTAGAACATCTAGGGAAACTCACTTCTCCAAGTCGGGGCTGAGTGAAACTGTGCCACTCGGAGTAAGTGTATCTGCAGTTGTCCACCTCCACTTGTCCTCCCCTGCAGGAATCCAGCGTGTGATGATGCCCAACCCCCCGGCAGGAGTCCAGGGTCTGGTGTCCTTTCACCATTTCGATGGTCTCCTGCCCTCCGTTTTTGACTCCGGATCCCACGGTGCCACAGATTCCCTGACCAGAAGCACCCACAGCTTGAGTTGTGAAGCCATTTGTGGCATACTGAAATGAAAACAATTTGCGTTGGGGAAATTACAGAAAAGAATAATAATAACAACAACAACACACACACGAAAAAAAAAAAGGACAAAGAAAAATCAACATCATTACTGAAATTTGCCTTGATTTGTTTTGTGTCCTAGAAAGTAGTAAGCTCTCTGGGGACAGAAACTAAGCCTGTTTTGTCAATCCCAAGCACCTGACTATGACAATCCCAATATTAAATTTAGGGTCTTATCATAAGAAACAAGTTGCAGTTGTCAGTGGCACCTGGAAAAATTGGAAAGCTTGATGTATAATTCCTTCTTTAAAAGCTTCTTATRATATTGCACAACTTCAGTTGTTACCTCCTTCCTGCATCTCACACCCCAAAGCATCACTACRGTCTCATATATATTTGCTTTCATAGTTAAATTATGAAATGTTACTTTCATAGGTAAATCCATCCCCTTTTATCTGCCAAGGCAGAAACAGAAATAATAATCAGCCTTTTTGTTCAGCAATTCAGTTCACTTCAACTGAATAACAAGAATAATGTWGCTGTAAGAATCTTAGCTGTAATAATATATTCTTGCAATCCACATAAATGCAAATAATAAACCAAGCAGGGAAGATACCAAGAACATCAAAGCTCTGGCCACTAATGTAATTTAAGTTTTCTTTCTTTCAATCCCTCCTTAAATACCTCAGGCTTTTATTTTCCAAWTTTTTTTCTGCTCTGATCATTAATTACGCTTTTTATAAGGAATTTACTTGCTCCTCTTTCACATATGGGGCTAGAAAAAAGTCAGAGAAATGTTTGTCACTTGCTAGCACTGCTCTTTTGGACATTCAACCTCAGGCTCTTCTCTAACCCACATTACAGCCAGAAAAAAAATCCATTAAACTTCTTCCCACGATGATCAAAGCTTGTAGCAATTTTATTGCTGTTGCCAGAAAAAAATTTAAAACAATTATCCTGGCGATCTGTGACTAATTAAATGCAACATGTTTACAGCAGAAGCAGCAATTTAAATAGATGCAGAAAACAGTGCCTAACACTGAAACCATGAAACATCTGAAGTAGAAAGTACTAATGACATGCTAAAGGATTTTTACTATAAACTCACACTACATGGCCAAATCAAAATACCATRTGTCCTCAGAGGAATCAGTCATTTTTATCTGTTCCATGAGGGAGATGACATTTTATGGTAAATTACCTGATCTCAAAAGAACTTTGCTCAGAAAMGATCATTCTAGAAAGAATCTACATTATACTCTAATTCATCCTTTGTATTTATTTAAGACAAATGACTTACCACTTTGTCATCTCCAGGAGCTTCGGTGTTCGACACAATGAGGTTCTGCTGGGCTAAATCATCAGGCAGTTCTTTTGGTTGTTTGTTTATCACAGAAGTCCCACAGACTAATGTAAATAGTATACCTGGAGGAAGAAAGAAAGAACTCTACTTAAGTCTATCATAAGATAATGTGAAAGTATGAATTTACAATGATTCATACGCAAAATAAATCATAACTTTCTAGAGCATATAAGTGAGACTGCTTATGTCAAAGCAGTATACAAAAGTTTGCTCTAAATACATGTGGCAAGTGCATGCCACATGCTGTTATGTCTACACTGAAAGTTATGTCTATGTTAATTGAGGAGACACCAGAGCTACACATAAGTGCACTTAAAATATGCACTACAAATATTTATGTGTTAAATAGAAACTAAGCTATATGCAAACGATCAGCTATAGGTGAGAGTGCTGGTTATAAGAATGTGTCTTGGAAGTTACCTTAGAGACTGTTACTGAAATTCAAGAAAGGACTTACAAAATAGCAATGCTATGCCCAACAATATTGCCAGGATGGCCCACGTTCCAAGTTTTACTTCGCCGTTGCCAGTCCTTCCACTTGCGCGAAAGGTGCAGTCATTTTCGGTAATGCAGTTACATATAACAACATTCAGTGAAGTGACTGCAGAGAAGCCAAGTCTATCTGTAACCTGAATTGGTACTACATAGGACCCAAATGGAGGATCGTTCTGATAAGAAAGACTTGCCGCTGTATCTGAGAAAGAAATAAAACCAAACATTATAGAACATCGCTGATTTGTCCTGGGCAAAAATAACTATTTACGAAATAAAACCAAACATTATAGAACATCACTGATTTGTCCTGGGCAAAAAGAACTATTTATCAGACAGTTATCATATTTCCCTACAAATGGATATTCAATGGGATAGCACAACTGCTAGCAGACTGTAAATGTGAATGGTCTGAATAGTTCTAACCTACAGCCATTGCATATTGCATATAAAAGTTGGTCTTGAAATAAKATATTTTACCTGTTCAAAAACAAAYCCTTTTATCATAACTAAGGGGCATAAGAGGTTGGTTTTTATCATATCAGTAAAATATTCAGTTAAAACAGTCAGTGTATATTTCCTTTTCACTGACTTTATCAGAAAGGAATGATCTGAAATTCTGGGTATCTCCCTTTATTTTTTCTCATATACTGTGCCGAGTAAACACACACACTTGTGATTTATTATCAGAGACAGATCCTAACAACTTAGAACACACCTGACTTTGAACATATTAGTAGGTCATAGGTCACACTGCTGGAACTACATCTCCTGAAGGACACTGGGTCCACCTACACAGATTTTTGTTTTGACCTTTCTTTTTTTTTGTTAGATCAAAGGTAGAAAGAGATCTAGACCACAAGCCCAATTTTGGATTCAGAACCAAAGACATGATACTAAATATGGTTGTCACATGCCAAAGGACAATCCCTCTCTCACTTAAATGCCCAATCTGACATTCTGATTTTTTTTTTTTCGGTGCGATGTTTGAGGCTCTCAATGTAAATTGGATGTTTAGGTGAGAAAATTATTAAGATTTTAAGATAAACCATGGTTAACTTGTCAAGTTTATTATACAAGGAATAATAAAAATAATAAGACAAACAAAACCAAAACTCATGATTCACAGTGTGCTATGGTCTATTTCATTCATGATCTCATTTACTTTCTGAAATAATCCCACTTTACACATGAGTAAATTGATACTCAAACAGAATAAACAGTATGTTCAGATTTACCGAACTAATAAATTGTGTGGCCAGCATTTGACCATATGACTTCAAAGTCTTTTCTTGGTGTTTCTTAACTTGTTGTTTCCCTGGTTTGGGATGAACTCACAGACCAGTAACTCTAAAATAATAAAATTTGAGGGCTTGGAGTGTAGCTAAGGGTATGGAACCT